ACTCTTGTTGGCTGTGATGGCTACTTCATTTGTTCTAAGGGATTCCTGCCCATGGTAGTAGATATAATGGTCATCTGAGTTAAATTCACCTATTCCAGTCCATTTTAGTTTGCTGATTCCATGAATGTCGACGTTCACGCTTGCCATCTCTTGTTTGACCACTTCCAATTTGCCTTAATTCATGGACCTAACATTCCAGGTTCCTATGTCATATTGCTTTTTACAGCATTGGACCTTGCTTCTATCACCAGTCCCATCCACAACTGGGTGTTCTTTTTGCTTTGGCTCTGTCCCTTCATTCTTTCTGGAGTTCTTTCTCCACTGATCTCCAGTAGCATATTGGGCACCTACCGAACTGGGGAGTTCATCTTTCAGTGTCCTATCTTTTTAGCCTTTTCATACTGCTCATGGGATTCTCAAGGCAAGAATACTGAAGTGGTTTGCCATTCCCTTCTCCAGTGGACCACGTTTTGTCAGAACTCTCCACTGTGACCCATCCATCTTGGGTGGCCCTACACGGAGTGGCTTCGTTTCATTGAGTTAGACAAGGCTGTGGTCCCTGTGATCAGATTGGCCAGTTTTCTGTGATTGTGGTTTCAGTCTGTCTCCCCTCTGATGCCCTCTCTCAGCATCTACTGTCTTACTGGGGTTTCTCTTACCTTGGATGTGGAGTATCTCTTCATGGCTGCTCCAGCAAAGTGCCGCCCTTGCTCCTTACCTTGGACGTGGGGTATCTTCTCACAGCTGCCGCTCCCAACCTTGGACGTGGGGTATCTCCCCTGGGCCGGCTCTCCTGACCTTGGTATGGGGTATCTCCTCTCAGCTGCTCTGGCAGTGCACAGCACGCCACCGCTCCTGGGGTAGTATGATTATCTTAACAGTATTCTTTCAGTCCATTAGCACAGTATGTCTTTCCATTTCTTTGTGTCATCTTCAGTTTCTTTCATCAGTGTCTTTTAGTTGTCCAAGTATATATTTATTCCTAGTTTTTTGTGTTTTTTTGGGTACAATTGCATATGGAATTTGTTTTCTTAATTTCTCTTTCTGTTCATTGTTAGTATATAGAAAAACAACAGATTTCTGTATATTAATTTTGTTTGCTGCCTCTTTACTGAATTCATTTTTTCTAAAAGTTTTTAAAAATTTGTCCATGTATAGTATTATGTCATCTGCCAACAGTGATAGTTTTACTTCTTCCTTTCCTGTCTGGATTCCTTTTATTTCTCTTTCAAGGAGCTATATTTTTAAATGAAAACTTTGATGTTTGCTTTCATAGAAGAATTGAGTATGATTGAAGATGGAAAGCAGGGTCCTTGGTGATGCTGAATATCAGTCTTAGATTTCAGCATATGGGAAGTGAAACCATAGAGAGTAACAGGAATGAATGTATATTATCACTCTTGGAAGAAAGGACAGCTTCCGAGGGGCCTTTGAGGTAGAAAACAGTCTTCTGTGGACATCCAGAGCAGAACTGCTCAGTATTTGTTATGTGGTCCCACTGTGGGGCTCCAAGGGGATTCTCAGGCTGGGGAGAGGGGTGGCGTGTGGACTGATCCAAAACCAAAGTTCTCTGCCCTCAGGCCAGTGCCACCCGATTTCATGTCACCTAAGGGCAGCCTGCTCAGTAAGTTATAAAGGGGCACAGTTCATATTTCAAACTGAAATAGCAAGTACCTTAAGTTTGCTGCATATTCAAATACATGTTCTTCAGATAAGAGTGGCTTATCACTGGAGCTGGGACTGGACATGTATTTAACAGACTTGCAGTAAGCTTTTCTGGGCATGTATTTAACAGAAAGTGGTACATAGTGGGAGGAGATTATGGACCAAGAGACTGGGACAGGCAGGCACAGCTAAGCATATATAGAGTACTGTGGCTCATCAGGGCCCTGCAAGTGCTTTGTGTAGGATCAGAGGGGAAGCTGAGGGAGAGGGAACAGCAGGAAGATAAATACTGTTGATTATATTCTCATGAAAGAGGCTCTTCACATCAGGAAGTGTAAAGTGGTACAACTTTTTGGGTAAGTCTTACAGCAATCTATGTCAAGAGTATTAATTTAAAAAGATAGGACATTATGTAAAGGAAATAAGCTGTCCATAAAATCTTCTATTCAAGAGTATTCACAATAGCACACACAAAAAAGTGAGAGTGGAGGGAAGAGCAGACAGCAGGACCTACCAGGAGCTGGGGATGGAACAGCCATTAAAGTGTCTGCTCTCTGGAAGCGTACATTTTGGTGCAGTTGGGTGTGAGTCAGAAGCAATTGTACAGAAAATAAACAACTCAGGAATATATATTATGACAGATGGAGGGAAGTGCTTTGAAGATTAATAAAGTGAGTTCAGGGTATTGCAAGAGACAGAAAATGGTGCCATCTATTTTAGGTAAAATAATTAGGAAAGGTAGATTGATATTTGGGTGGAGACCTGAATAAAATGGGGGAGCATATCATACCAAAATCCGGCAGAGACATGAGGAGAGACATAAAGTGAGGGAGGTTAAGAGATACAGACTTCCAGTTGCAAAATAAATGAGTCATGGGTATGAAATGTACAGTGTGGGGAAGACAGTCAGTAATTATGTAATATCTTTGTATGTGACAGATGGTAACTAGGCTTATCATACTGATCCTTATGTAATGTATAGGAATATTGCATCACTTTGTTTTATACCAGGAACTAATAGTGTTACAGGTCAATTATACTTTAACAAACAAATTCATAGAAAAAAGTTTTCAGATTTGTGGTTACCAGAGGCAGGTGATAGTGGGAAGGGGAATTGGATGAAGTTGGTCAAAAGATACAAGTTTTCAGTTATAAGGTAAATAAATACCAGGGTTAAAATGTACAATATGATAAATATAATTAACGCTACGGTGCATTACATGTGTAAGCTAATCTTCTAACAGTTTTCATCAAAAAGAAAAAATTTGTTTTCCTTTTTTATCTACATGAGATGATGGATGGTCACTAAACTTATTGTGATAATCATTCTGTGATGTATGTAAGTCAAATCATTATTCTGTATACCTTAAACTTACACAGTATGGTATGTCAGTTATATCTCAATAAAACTGGAAGAAAAAATAGAAACAAATGGGCCAAATTTTGATAATTATTGACTCTGAATGTCAGCATTCATGCATATATTTAAAATTTTCCTTAACAAAAGTGTACTGCTAAATTTAAAAAAAGGAAATCTCTGGTCTACAGTGGATAGAAATGGTACAAACTTAAAAAGAACAGACATTTTAAATTTGCGTAACATATAGAATTCATATAGAATCCATAGTCTACTGGGGGAGAAGACTGAAATCCTGGAAAAGCATAGAAAATGTTTCCTTCTTGCCCTTTTTTAAAATAGTGAGGCAGACATTTTCCACAGCTGTAAATAGGATAGGCAGTTTAAGACTTTGAAGAGGAAAAGGGAAAACAAATCTGGCAGAATGGCCTTCGAGGCAGAGGGCCAGTAGGTGTGGAGGACCTGAGGTGGTTGTTGAATGAGTTCTTAGACTGGTAAGGAGCACATTGTCCCTGAGGCAGGGCAGGTTGGGAGAGTAGGTGGTGTTAGAACCTTGTAAACCATGGTGAGGACTTAGGACTTGATTCTGCATAAGATGCACACCATTGTGGAGATTGATGTAGCTTGAGTTTAGGATTGTGCCAGCCTGTGAATGGAAAATAGACCAGGGAGTCAGTCAGGATTATGGAAGTTGGAGAACTAATAGGAGGCTACTGAAATAATCCAGACAATATACAACTGGCTGGGATGGGGGTGAGAAGTGGCTGATGTGGCCTGTCTGTTTAAATAGAGGCTACAGGAATGGCTGTTGGATGGACATGAGATGTGCAAAAGAGAGGAGTTGTAGGTGACCACAGAATTTTTGGTCTAAACAGAAGTACAGAGCTGCTGTTGAGACTCAGAAGAAGAGGTGAGCAGACCTCATAGGGTAGGAGGCATGTTGAGTTCAAGTTTAAGATGTGTTGAACTTGAGTTGTTCTATGATATCAAAGTGAAATGTTGCCTTGGCAGTAGGGCAGAAGAATCTGTAGTTCAGAGTAGAATTTGGGATGGCTATTGAAGAAGTGTGTCATTAACTTGTCCAAAAACCAGAGGGTAGTAGCTGGAAGTCAAGTGGAGGCCTTCCAAGGAGATAATGACTGCCTGTGCCCATTTTTGCTCATGTTTACCAGTGTCTGGTGATTTTAACCAGCATGTTTCACAGGGGCTAGAAGCCCTTGGTGAAAGGGGGTCTGGGAAAGGGAGGAGTGTTTGTGGCTGAAGAAAATTTTTTGTTTTAATATGAGTTATTGTGATTCTTTATATGCTGATAGGAAAGTTCCAGTGGAAAAGGGGAAATTATTGATTCAGAAGGTGGTGGGGATGATTTCAGGAGTAAAGCCACTGATGGTGAGAGGGCTTAAGAATTAGTCCATAGTGGAGGATTTGGCTTTAATGAGAGCATTGACAGTTCATCTGTCATTGTGATTCCCAGCCCCAGATTCACATCAGAAACACAGGGGATGCTGAAAACACACTGCTGCCTGGCTGCCCCCCAGACCAGTGAAGTTACAGGCTCCAAGCTGAGGCCCTGGCACTGGTGTTCTCTGAGAGCTCCCTCTGTGCCTCTTGGCACCTGGAGAGGGGTGGGAGGCTGACAATGTGTAAGGCTGATGCAGGCAGTTTGATCAGCTTGGTGAAAAAAGCTTGGGGAAGGTCTCTCAGTTTTCTTTTTTCAGTGAAGTGAGAAGCAACATTATCAGCTCAAAGTGGGGAGGAGAAGGGAAGTGTGATGGATGAAACTCTCACCTCCCTTAAATAAGGGGAATGAGGTACTGTTTGTTCATTAGCGAAGCAGAGTGCACTCTGATTTGTTTTATGGGCTGTTAGTAACTTAATTTAGATTTCTATGCATTAAATTCCACCTTTGTATTAAATTTTCTATGCATTAAATTCCACATATTTAATGTGTTGTTTATATGTGCTGTTTTTCCTCTAGAAATCTACATCTATATTGGAATTTTACCAGGAACTTGGATTGCCACCAAAGCAGAAAGTTAAAATGTTTAACGTAACAGATAATGCTGTTATTAAGCCAGGTAATCTGAGATCGGGGAGAGGAGGGAGGTAAAAATACCCAAATATGTGATTTGTTTAATGTCAGCCCTTTTAATAAAGCTGAGTTCACAATACAAAGTCCCAAACATTTATTTTTAAATACAAAACCGTGTCTGATTTAATCACTAGGGACAAACAGGTCTTTTTCTTTTTTAAGTGGAAGGAACTGTAGAGAACTCTTTGTTTTCCATGAAAGAAGGAGGAACGCTTTTGTTTTTAATGTACAGAGTGTTTCACATTTGGAAAAGCCTCTCCAAATAAGTAAGTGAACTTTTAAAATGTGAAGTTCACTGTTCGTAGGCTGGTATTTATTAAGTGAGGAATAGATTCTCACTGCGATAGAATAAGAAAATATAGCCAGAAACAGAAAAGTGACTGACCATGGCACCTTGACGTAAAGATTCTTACTTAAAAATTCCAAAGTATTTTACCTACTCCATGGAATATCAAAAAGTCACATTTGGCGATATGATTATATTAGTTAATGGCATTTTGATGTCTTTGAACTTTAGAAAAGCTTCCTAATGTCTTGAACTTGGGTTCTTGAGAAGTGGACTGTAGAAGGATGTTTTAAGATTTGATATTTTAATACCTGAACTGAGTTTCTTGAGGTAGAATACAGTTGCAGTAGGCCTTGTTAACTGGGGTGATAGAGTCAACCTTGATAAAAGCTAGAATTGAAGGTTTTTTTTTAAGTGCAAATTTTTCATCTTTGAGGTAAAGTAAATGGAGTTAACTAGTATAAACATGAAGTCTGCGTTAACTTTTGCTATAGCTCAAACTGTATGATACTGGGTTTTTTTGTGGATGAAAAATGGCCAAATATCAATTCAGGTGATTCAGCCTCATAGAAATTTGATCATTTTCAATCTATTTTTTCTTAATTCAAGGTTTTTCTCTGCCCATATAAATCCACGTTGGGTCCTACTTAAAGGACCCTATCCTCTGAAACCCTGCAGCACATTACTCCTTGTTTTAAAACAAACACACATTAGCTTTTGATTATATTGGCTACTACATTGGTTGCAGTTTTTTTTTTTTTTTGAAGTCTTACTGAGTGATGTTAATGCTGATTCCTATTTTTGGATAACTTACCTCCAATAGGAAAAAGAAAAGCCTTTGATATCCTACGTTTTTTTAGTCATTCTCTTATTTTTATTTTTCTTATTAGAAATGGGAAATATATCTTAATATATTGTTACTCACAAGAAAAAAACAAAGAATCTCATGTATTTACCAGCAGGAGCAATACTGTCACAGGAGTTGCCTGTTTCACCCAGTATCGTGGTGGCCTCTGAATGCACGAGCACATCAGTGGCTGTGGCTTGCTGACCACTCGAGCACCATGTGCCCCATACTTCAGCCTCCATACTGTCCATTAAAATGCATTTATTGAGCAATTTTATTATCTTATTGTTGATGTTTCTAATCATTAAAATTGCAGAAGAGACTATCCTGACATTTTGAAATCTGATAGCTAGAAAGCTTCCTGTCTAGTTTGTTTAATGAAGTTGTTTCTGAGCTGACAAATTTCATATTGATTTTTTGTTTTCTTTTCATAAAGGCACTCCTCTTTATGCTGCTCACTTTCGCCCAGGACAATATGTGGATGTCACAGCCAAAACGTAGGTCCACATAACAGGTTTTTTTCGTTTTGTTTTCCTTGTACATTAAAAACCAGCAAAGTGAGTGAAAGAAGTGCAGTCTTTCAAAGTCAGTGAATAAAAGATAAGTAATCATTATTCTCATTCATAATTCTAATCTTTAGTGTAACTGATGGTACCAGTTTTTAAATTGCACTGAATTAGTTATGCCTGAAGAGTTTACATTTTAAATTGAGATGTGTGCTTCTTGAGATGGGACTAAGAGAAAGGTTACATTATTCAAGTTCCTTGTGGGCTGGGCCCACATCTATTTGAAGACAAAAGGCTGCATATATCATGTTGGTAAAAGATACAGGAAGTAGTTAAATTACAAACATCTTGTACTGTAGAGCATTTTTGGAACTGTGTTAAAATCCCATTAGAAACTGGGAGAAGAAAACAGAATCACACCTTAGGCCTCTTCAGTAGCATGACATCATCTTTTGGCACTAGAAGGGACAAAATATTTTGTCATACATAAAGAAGAGTTCAGATTTGGTAGAAATGAACACTTATTTGTCACTCTAATAGAAATGCTGACTTTGTATCATACTTTAAGTTCAGCACTGGCTAGATAATCTCCAGGAAACTTTAGAACTTATAGAAGTAGTTTTTTAAAAATCAGTTGTGACAACCTAGAGGAGTGGAGTGGGAGGGACAGGGGAGGCTCAAGTGGAAGGGATATATCTGTACTTCGGCTAATTCACATTGTGTGAATGTGAATGCTTTACAACATTGTAAAGCAGTTATTGTCCAGTTAAACATTTTAAAAAATGAGTTGATGTTAACTCACTATGGAATAAAGTCACCAAGCCCTTTTCAGTATCATTTCTTACAATCCATATGATCTAGGCTAAGCTTAACTCCAGATATCAGCTCTCGTCCATTCTTTTGTTTGGCCATGCCGTAAGGCTTGTGAGATCTTAAGTTCCCCTACAGGGATTGAACCCCCAATCCATGGTAGTGAAAGCACGTAGTCCTAACTACTGGGCTGCCAGGGAACTCCCAAGCTCTCATTCACTCTTATTTCTTGTTCTGTTAACATTGATGACAGTTTCACTGCTTTATGTGTCTCAGTTTTCCTTTTGTCATTTCACATGGTATGCAGCCTATGTTCCAGGAATATTCTGACTGAGAACTGTTTGAAAATGAAAATAGCCTAGAGGTGCTCTGGGATAACCTTAGATCATAATGACTGAGCCAGAGCTGCTGCTTCTGTCCACGGAAACCAGATAAATCTAGTGTCAGTTTCCTAAATGCAGTCAGATACTTCTTCACTTCCTCATTATTATTGCCTACTTTCAAATATGGGCCATGGCACACAGGTCCTAGGGTCCTTAGGTTTTGATTAGCTATTTAGAAATGGAGGGGGTTTGGCCTGGAGAGGAGAGTAAGTCTTTAAAGAGACTGTGAACCGTCCTCTTCTCCCTTCTTCCTGATTGTTGTGAACTCATTCCTACTTGCTGGGGCCTCCGAAATTACTGGTCTCGTGGTAACGTTTGTCCTGCATACCCTTGTGAAGAAGTCAAAATATTGGAACTGTAAAGCTTTGGTTTGGGTAGATAGGGAGACGTGTTATGAATCAGATGGTTTTACTTTTTAAATTACTAAATTATTACATATAATAAAATACTTCATGGTAATTTGTTAACTTACAGTTAATAATGTATGCTTTCCACCACATATTTTGTAGGATAAATGAGATATTCAGGAAGCCCCACAAAATCAGTTTTCTTTGTTAGCAGATGCCTTATGGCAGTGTTTGTGACTAGCTTGGATTGGAGCCTGGCCTTTTTAGTGTCTGTGTTCAGTAGATGCTTTTATTTCATACGCTGTTGTTGGGTTTCTTTAACTTCTTTTTTTTTTTTTTGATTTTTTAATTGAAGGAGTATTGCTTTACCATGTTGTGTTGGCTTCTGCCACACAGCAGTGCAGATCAGCCAGAGTTACACATATATTATTTCCCTCTTGAGCCTCCCTCCTCTCTCCCCGTTCCTTAACTTCTCAGAAGCTGTTTTTAAAACTTCAGCCTTCTTGTGAGAGTGTGTTGGTTTTGTGTTTTAAGAGCATATATCTAGAAGACTGGAGTGTGTACAGCCATGTGCATTTCAGCCTCAGGACTGAACAGCTGATGAGAACTGAGAGAGGAACTAGCCTTAGGCTTTAAACTGTGGAGAAGGGGGACCTACATTTGTTGTGTGGCTGCTGTGCCACCTTCTGTCTGACTATATAATGTGTGCATGGTACTCTAGTGTGTGTACCTGTTGGGGGTATTACGTGAGATCAAGGTGAAACAGACTGATCTTTCACTCAGTGCTGCTGATAGCTATAGTTTTCATAGCTGGTGTGTTATTATGGCCTCAGAGTGCTTGTAAGTGCTTTCAGATTTACAGAACTGTGTACTCCTCATGTGGAGATGTTTTGGATCGCTCCTGAGCAGGCTTGCATCTAAGCTACACACAGTCCTGGTGGCAGCTGTCACTGCCATTGACTTTCCCCATATGTGTGTACCTGTGAGCATGCACGCACACATGAATCTGCTTGCTTTTCTTTCTCCTCTTTGAATTCTTCTGTCTCCTTCCATGATGCTTCTCTCTTTTTGAACAGCTCCCCCAGCTTGGAGTTTTAGTCCTTTACAGCCAGTGAGAATGTTTTTTCCTTGTTGACTATAAACGGAACCATTATCTTTTGGACATAGGCTCCAAGTTGTGGCGGTCAACTTTGTCCTCCTTTTTTGTACTTTGTCCTCCTTTTGCAGCCCCTGTTTTAATATTTTGAAACTTCTAGGTTCCATCATCTTGATTATTAATGATGTTACAGATGTACACACTGGAGAAAAAGTGTTGCATTGACATAGCTGGGTCAGATGAGGGACAAGGGTTCATAGCCTGGAGCATCAGTTCCCAAGCTTGAGTGGGCTTCAGCATCTCCAAGAAGGCTTGTTAAACAATCTTGTATTTCCTGCCAATCTTCAGATTCATTAGATCTGGGGAAGTACCTGAGAATTTGCATTTCCAGCAAGTTCCCAGGTTGTGTGGATGCTGCTAGTCCAGGGACCACACTGAGAACCACCGGACTGAAGAACAGGAACGCATCAGTGAACTTGCTTTTCTGTGCTCCTTTACCCAGCACGGAGTCCCAGCGCCTGCCTTTTCTCAGCTCTACTCAAATTAGTCCTGAGAAATCTGTATGCAGGTCAAGAAGCAGCAGCTAGAACCAGACATGGAACAACAGACTGGTTCCAAATTGGGAAAGGAGTATGTCAAGGCTGAATATTGTCACCCTGCTTATTTAAATTTATATGCAGAGTAAATCATGTGAAATCCTGAGCTGGATGAAGCACAAGCTGGAATCAGGATTGCCAGGAGAAATACCAATAACTTCAGATATGCAGATGACACCATCCTTATGGTAGAAAGTGAAGAAGAACTAAAGAACCTCTTGATGAAAGTGAAAGAGGAGAGTAAACAAGTTGGCTTAAAACTCAGCATTCAGAAAACAAAGATCATGGCATCCAGTCCCATCACTACATAGCGATTAGATGGGGAAACAATGGAAACAGTGGCAGATTTTATTTTTGGGGGCTCCAAAATCACTGCAGATGGTGACTGCAGCCATGAAATTAAAAGACTCTTGCTCGTTGGAATAAAAGCTATGACCAACCTAGACAACATATTAAAAAGCAGGAACATTTCTTTGCCCACAGAGGTCCATCTAGTCAAAGCTATGGTTTTTCCAGTAGTCATGTATGGATGTGAGAGTTGGATCATAAAGAAAGCTGAGCACGAAAGAATTGATGCTTTTGAAATGTGGTGTTAGAGAAGATTCTTGAGAGTCCCTGGGACTGCAAGGAGATCCAACCAGTCCGTCCTAAAGGAAATCAGTCCTGAATATTCAGTGGAAGGACTGATGCTAAAGCTGAAGTTCCAGTACTTTGGCCACCTAATGTGAAGAGCTGACCCATTGGGAAAGACGCTGATGCTGGGAAAGATTGAAGGCAGAAGAAGGGGGTGACAGAGGATGAGATGGTTGAATGGCATCACCAACTCTATGGACATGTGTTTGAGCAAGCTCCAGGGGTTGGTGATGGACAGGGAAGCCTGGTGTGCTGCACTCCATGGGGTCCGACACAACTGAGCAACTGAACTGAACTGAACTCAACTGATACACATATGGACATCTGTTTTAAAGTACGAAAGTCTAATCAATCTGATTTCAAATAACATTGCAGTAATAGTAAGCCTGTGTATCACCTACATTTTAGTTAGCATGAAACTGAAAACTGGTCTCTTTAGTAACTGGCTTCATCATCTCCTTTCCATTAGAGGTTAATTTGAGACTTGTTTCTAATTGAAATTTACTTTTCTCATGTTGTAATAATTACATTTAATTGTTAAGTCTACACTTATATTTTGAGCATTTCAAATCTTTTACCATACATTTTCAGTTTTAATTACTGGATTAAATATATGTTAGAAATAACTTAAGAAAAATTTAAAATAGAAAAATACTAATTTAAGAAAATGTAGTGTTAATAGAATCTATCTACTTGAAGAACAAAATTGTCCACAGACATTGTCTTTTAAATGACAAGTAACCAACACTAGCAACCCCCTCTTCTTTTACATTTAAAAAAAAATTATTTATTTTTAATTGGAAGATAATTGCTTTACAGTATTGCGTTGGTTTCTGCCATGCATCAACGTGAATCAGCCATAGGCATACATACGTCCCTTCCCTTTTGAACCTCTATCTCACCCCTCTAGGTTGTCACAAAGCCCTAGCTCGAGTTCCGTGCGTCATATAGCAAATTCCCATTGGCTATCTGTTTTACATGTGGTAAATGTATATGTTTTCATGCTACTCTCTCCATTTGTCCCACCGTCTCCTTCGCCCACTGTGTCCCCAAATCTGTTCTCTATGTCTGCATCTCCATTGCTGCTCTGCAAATAGGTTCATCAGTACCATCTTTCTACATTCCA